TGGTTATTATTAATAATATCCAATTAGGAAAAACATCAGTATAGGAAAAAACAGGCAATGGTCGTTAAATTATACCACCGAATTACCTCCACCGAATACAGGGCAGATGCCTTCCTCATCCGAATGTTGTTCCCGTTACTTTTAAAAATTAATGTCGATTACTAAAACTCTCTGTTATCCTTATTTAATAAATTAAAAAGGCTTCCGTAACTACTTGTTGGATCAAGAAAAAGTTTCAACCAATACTAAAAAATTATAATCACATTAATTGAAAGTATGATACAATTATATTTCATACTTAGCGCGTTTTTCATTTGACATTTGTTAAAATATCCAGGCAATCTGTGAAATATATATGGGTTTTCTGGTAATCTGTGAAATATATGTCAATCTGTGGCATATATGTCATTTTTTAGGCAATCTGTGAAATATACGTCAATCTGGGGCATATATGTCATTTTTTAGGCAATCTGTGAAATATATGCCATATCGTAATTTTCCGGTCGGTTTTCAGCTTTGTATTCAATGCCAGATTTTCAGATTTGCTGTTATCAGCTACATAAATGATTTAAAAAAAATTTATTTCAATATGCATTAAGATTTTAAGAGTAGTTTTGGTAATAGTTGATGGTTAACAGTTTATTTAAATATTTTTATGCTTTTGCAATCTTGAATTTTAATTCCTTCCACTTTGCAAATCGCATGATTAGCGGTAATCAATAATCGCTGCTGTTACCCTTAATAACTGGCATTATACTATAAAAATCTGGATGTTACATTTATCGGAGAATTTACCTATGTGTATGTAATACGACTTATAACAGAGTAGAGAATATGAATTCCTTCTATGTACAGGACAAAAACTTACCTACAAGAAATATAAATTAGTTGGAATAATTCAAATAAAGTTATAAACATGTATATAAATCCTTTTTTCAACAATTTAAATAATGCAAACCTTTTCGCCTGTACATAATTTTCATTCGTGATTTCTTCTTGTTTAAAAACAAAAAATTAAATTTCAAACTGTCTGTTACTATAATTACATTGTGTTTATTTAGGAAAACTTAAACATTCATTAAATTATATCTGTTCAATTTTAAAATCATTCGATGAATTAATATGTTTATTATCATTTAATATCACCTTTTCTTCGTCCAAATAGTTTAATGACTCAAATTTCTTTTCTAAAATTACAGATTATTCTTATCACTTTATTTATTAGAGAAATTTAAATTTAGAGAAGAAGATTCGGAAATAATTTCATAATCAATAATTTAAATAAAAGATTTTGAATATAGCTCTTGAAGCAATGTCGCAAAATGTCAGTTATTTTATTACATATTTGAATACGCAATTTGCAAGGTAAAATAATTGCTGTTGGTCTGATAGTCTATGGTAAGTTAAGAATTAAAACTAAAAAATTTTAAAATATTTTAATAGGTGTGAAATCAAGAGTAAATAAAAGGTAATTAATAATTTGAAATATTGATCTACTACCCCTCTGGTGTTTTATTTTCTAATAACGGTGTTTTATAATAACTAAAATGCTCTAGTCTTAATTGAATTTTCTCCTTCAAATTTAAATATATCTATGGGGAGGCAGGGGATTTTTTTAAAAATAAATTCGGATAAATTTCATATCATTTGTACTAAATCGGAAATATTTTAAAAGGATTTGAAAATTAATCGACAAAATATCCCCTGCCTCCCCATAGCATTAAATATACCTATGGGGGGGGCAAAGGATTTTTTTTTAATAAATTAGAATTAATTTCTTATCATTTGCACTAAGTTGATAATTTTTAAAAAGGATTTGAAAATTTTGACATTTGAACTTAAATACACCACAGATGACCCACAAGGCAATGATTTAATTCAAGCCTTACGAATATAAAGTATTAAAAAAGAAATATATATTAAAATAGCTTTTTCATGGCCTTGCCATTTGACGTAAGTTAAATAAATTCAAATCATGAATGATATTTAATGAGTAATTTGTTAGATAGAAATTTGTAAAATAACAAACGTAGTTTCAAACCATATGTAATAATAAAACGACTTAACATAGATGATAATTTAAAGGAAAAATTTATAAACTACTTAATTATGAGGAATTGATCACATAAGATATTTATGAGACATACTTAAACCATAAACAACAATTTTGATAAAAGATTTATAAAATAGAGTCATATCACAAACATTAGTTTAAAAGTGCATTCTGGGAGATAGATCTAAATCATATAATAAATAATTTATTCAAGACATTGAAATGTTAAATTCAAACAAATACAATATAATTTAGATAACTTAAATTGAAACCATTTTGTAATACTAAATGAAAGGGATGATTATCTACTATATCACAAATTAATGTAATTTGTGTGCAACTTAAGCAATGCAATTTATGAATAATATAAACAATGTCAATTGTATATTGCATTGCATAAGACAATTTTTTAATGAATAGCGAAGAATGTTCAAAAAGCTAAAAATATCTACAATGTCTAAATATTTGACAATCAATAATATTTGTAAGCTTTAACTTGAATTAGATATTTTGGCAGTAAGTGAAATTGAAAGATTTCATTTTTATCTAACATCTACCGTTTTTAAAAATTAAATGAGAAGTAATTTACTAATTCTAATACCATAATTGGTGAAAAAGCATAATTGATGATACTGAAGTTAAAGGCCCAATTACAGTGTAAAACTTTCAGAAATCATTTTATTTTTGTATGATTAAAGAAAAGCGTAAAGCATGCATAATACTCAAAATGGAAATTTCAGAAAATTCTTTGTTTTGATGGTTAGATTTTTATACATTCAAATGCAAGGTTAAAAATTCGAGAGGTTGATCTTACATAAGTTAATTTCTGCACATGATATTTTGAGTTACGATATCCAAAATCGTAACAAAAATCTGACGAATTTTCAGCGAGATCAATCACGTTAACCGTATAATTAAAATCAGGGAACCTGTTATTCTGTCAAAGGAAACGAAAAGCAATCAAAGGAAGTAAAAAGTGGTGGCTTTTAGCCTTATCTGACAAATAAGTTTATTTGATACTTTTTATCTTTAATTCAGCGTGATTGACTTCGATAATAATTTCAATAACATATTTTGTGTTATTTCTCTTATTACGTTTAAATTTTACTTGAAAATATTAAATATTTCGGTTCTAACATATATCAACGGCCAAAAATCGTAATTCAAAAACATTGCAAAAGTGTCACAGTTGACTGCAGTGTCGTGCGAAGAGGGAGTGAAAGGGACAATGTCCACAGGCCTCCAGTCGAAGAAATCATCCAATCGTGGTCTGAAGCATATTAAATTTTAAACTCAGCTACTTATTTGCAAGCATTAGTTTTAGTAGGAAACTAAAATTTTCGTTAAGTAAATATTTGGCGGAAATGAAGCATTTTATAAGGAACCAAGCATAGTTTACGAGCAACTTAATGATGGATTTATAGGTCTTTACGATTTAAATACTTCTTAAATTTTAGAAAATCTAAAAATATTTTGCTTAAAATGAAAAAGGAATAACAACTTTACAAAAGAATAACTTTTGCATACATTTGCAAAATAAGTACCTAAATGAAATAAAATTAAATAGAGAGTGATTTTTTTTTAAAGCTCTGAAATTAAAACCCTATAACAAAATAACCACAAATTCAAAAGAACCAAAATTTCAACAGTATGCTCCCAAAGCAATGGGAAACGTTTTAGGCGTGGTTAAAAAAAAAGAAACTTAAAATTGCGCCGATAGAAGGCACTTTAAGTTAACCAATAGTTATGTAAAATTAACTAATCGTAATCGTCATCAATGGAAGGAAAATGATGGGTGTTACTTTGAGGAAGAAAAAAAACCTTCACTTCACATATCAAAAACATACGGAATGCAGTAATTGAGAAAATTAACTGCGAACACCTTCGCACAGACTTAATGACTTTAATGCCATCTAGCGATATGATTTTAACTTTTCTTTATTCACACCTAAAAAAATTCATATTGCTCTGGAAACATAATGATGAATTCTCAGTTATTTTGGATTAGAAGTTCTTTTGTTACATGGTGACTTCTGCTAATTTCATAACTTTAAAAAAAAAACCTCTGCATAGTTTAACACTAAACATACCAACACTTAATTTCTACCATAGCCAGTCCGGACTTTATGTTTCCTGTTTGAATGTATGAAATATGGATGTTAGGAAGGAAATAAACTAAAGAAACTTTATTATAATTAAACAAAATTGTGTATTACCAATTTTCATGTATTACAAATACAAAAATAAGAATTTTTAATTTATTACTCAACGCATTTTTTCTGTATACGGGGTGTTTTCATTGTACATTTTCCGTAAACATATTTCCTCTAATTATTATTATTTCTATAATTCTTATAATTATTGTTATAATTATAATAATATATGAGAATTATAATTCTAATAATTATTTTAAAATTAATATTATTTCTTCTAAGATTTTCTGCTGTCTTGATTGTTTCGACATTTTTCTGGGTAAAAACTAACAGTCAGTTCGAAATGAAGTAAAGCTATCAAAATAAAATATAAGTTACTTACCAAAACATTTAGTTTTTGTCACTTTTTCTTACACAAAAATGCCAATCTGAAATTTTAGGTACTTTCTCGAAATTTGAATTCACAGTTATTCTGATTGAACTAACTACGCAACAGTCTTTGCAGAAATGTGCAACTCATCAAATGCAATGCGTTGAAGATGCATTACATCGTAATTTCTGATCCGATAATTTATAAAGCAATAAATTGTTCTCCCGGTCAAATGACCGGTTGTGATAGAAATAGGTATACGACTAGTATTATTCGAAGCAAGCAAAATACAAAGAAAATAATAATAATAGAATATTAACCGTATATAATCGTTAGAAAAAGTCATGAAGTCAAATGTGCAAAAACGATAAGATGATAAGCACATTTTCAATGCAAAAGTTCTTAAACAGCCATTTGACCGATTATGGTATGTTTAGTGTTAAATTTTTATCATAGAAGTCGTCCTACTGTCCTTACCATTTTATTTAATTAAACTTTTTGCTTCGTGTAGAGATTACATTATTTACTTCTCTTTTTGGAGGAATCTAATCGAGGATTTTGCTCCGACATCCCTTTGCACGTCGCTGATGGTTTACTGTATTTTATAAATAAATAAATAACGTTTCCAAAATATGATTTTACACTGTGAGTGCCCTTTAAAGCTTTTTTGAAAACATTCTGCCGAGAAAGCAAATTTGTACAAAAGTGCATTGTGTGTGAGTGGAGGCGATATATTTTCCGCAATATACGGTGGGAAGCACATGTTATCCAACAGCTTTGGATATCGAAAGAAAAGATTCTCTGGACGATATTCTCTTTGAAAAGAGAATTTGTACCTTTTCAAAAGTGCATAGTAACTGATAATGAAATAGAAAAATAGTTCCAAACAGTGGACCCTACATTGTAAACATTAAAATATCTAAAAGTTTGGTCTTCTTATAGTTAGCTCTTCCATTAAAGAGGATTGGAGGGTGAACATTCTGAGCTGAAGCATAAAATCATATTGAGGCACGCTTATTTCTTATGTCATCGTAAGGAAAATATAATGCAGGATGAAATAGGCTTTCTTCTTGTGGTTGTTCAGTAATTGCACGCGTTTCATCACTAATAGTACTGATTGGTAACAAATGGATTTTATTGGTACTACGAAAGTTCCTTTGCGTCCGTTTGTGCCCGTAACATGTACAAGAACACACTGAAGCTATTTCATCCACATCGGATGACATATTTGGATCATGTCCCGATATAATAGATCCATTGGCTGTTATGACGTCACCTTCGAGTCGAACAGCTTCTTGCGCAGCAGACTGAGCTTCTGCTTCGTCTCTCCGTTCGTCTTCAGTGTTCATCGTCATAAAACGTAAAACAAGTAAGTTCATGGCAGCTGAAACAACCGATAGTCCAAAAAGAATAAACACTAGACTAAAGGCCACATATTCAGGTTTGCTTTGCAAGGCGCTCTCTTTTTGTAATGCAACATAATCCCCGAACCCTATGGTGGTTAATGTTATAAAACAATAATAAAAGGCATCAAAATAATCCCAGCGCTCATATTTAGAGAATGCTGCTGCACCAGTAGTCATAACGACTGTTGAAAGAATAGAAACGAAACAAATTAAATTGGTCTCTGATACCTCAGTATTTTTCATTTTTAAACAACGTTTACCGTGTTTAAGAAGGTAAGCCACAAATGTGTTTAATCTTTCACCAATACTTTGGAACATGACCAATCCTAAAGGGATGCCGGCAAGAGCGTAAAACATGCAAAAGGTTTTGCCTCCCCAGGTTGCAGGAGTAGAATGACCATAACCTGAAAAGAATAAGATTATATTAATAAAATACAAAGTTTACTATGCAAGCACACATGCATGAAACTATGCGTAAAATTTGTTCAATAATGTATCAAAATATAAATGTATCAAATGTAAATGAGTTTTGGATTGGAAGAAAAACAGTCTGCATAAACATAAATTGTTTGTAGTGGTTCGTATTCAAGGGGTCAAATAAATGACAATTTCTAGGACAGAGCCGTATTGGTTCAGGGGATAGAGCGTAGACAGGTAAGTAAAGTGACATTAGCTTAGGCATATCCTTACAGTTTGTTCAAAATGTATGAAAATGGTCAAATATTTCAAGAACTATGCGTCGAGTCAAATATTTAAATATGCCAAAGTGACAAATCTTGCAGCCTATGATACCAAACTCACGCCGGGATGGATCAGGATGGTTTAAAAATATTAAACAGTAATATCTATTTTATACATTGCAGATTTTGATTTTTTAAAAAAAAGAACAGATCGATTTGATTGTAAGTTGCTGCAGTTCGATTCGCAGATGGTACTGTTATTAAGAAATTGAAGATGGCCTAAAAATCATTTAAAATAGAGTTATCTTTACAAATACATGCAGATAAAGTAAAAATAAGCTTGTTTGATAATTTGAAATTTTATCTAATGATACCAAACTCTGATATTCCTCTTTTAATTATCAACACATTTTGTATAAAGCAGGATATTTTTACAGCCTATTTTAACTCATTTTGGTTGTGAAACAAAGTGAGCAAGATATAAAACTGAAAAAGGCTACTGAATTTCTTGCATGCCTTATAATGTTTTATTATGTCTAAAAACTTTTACCAACGAGGACAAATAAAATTAGATTTTTGCATAAACTATCGTTTCGTTAAAGTACCAAAGTAGAAAAAACGAAATTTTTTTTTAAAGTTTTGAACAGGATTTGAAAAGAAAAATTTACCCGATATGCCTAGGATATGTAAAAATTCGGATGTATTTTTTAACCTTACATGCCGGCCGAACTTATTACCGAAATTAACATGATATATTTATATGGAATATTTGACCAAAAATACCCTCATACCCTACCCTTATTTCTATCAGCAAAAACTTTCCCCAAATCTCTGTGCATAAAAAAATGACTAAACGCTTACATTGAATGTTAAAGCAAAAGGAAAACTGTCAGTATGGATGATTTAAGTAAAGTTTATAATTCAAAATGAAATTGTTTTGTCTTTCTGGTAAGACAGATTCTAAGTTTTTTTTCAAATGAATAGTCACAAATGAATAGACTAACAAGTCCGATGGGGTATGTAAAAGTTTTGATTTTTTCGGACGCTTGATTTTAAGTAACAGCATAAGGTAAGGATCACAAATTCCAGTTCAAAAATACCCTACTCTCAGCTTTCGATTTTTTTTTTGTGACTAGCCTCCTTTTGTTCCTCCCTCCTTTATATTATTTAGCTCATGTGTAGCCCAAGAAATTTCCGAAATTTTCAAAATGTATTGATATAACTTTCGGTCCAAAAAAGCAGAGATCTTAAACTTGTATTTTGTGGAACTTTGGCGGTCCCTGGGACTTTAACAAGTGATCACTATTTGCTTTATCAAGGAGTTGAACTTTTAATTTAAGATTGAATTCTGAAGAGCAGTTTGCTGTTGCTCTTGTTTCTGTTGTAGGCCATTAAGGAGAGAGGTGAGATTGTTCTTGTTTTCAGTGCCATATATGGTCAAAAATTCGACTTCTGAAACTCACACCCGTTTTTAGCACGGACCTATTTATACATCCATTCATTCATTTACCCACAGATCGTAATTTTGACCTGAACAAGAGAATTAATCTCCAATTCAGTACCCCAGAGGTATAATCTGTTAAGGGAACATGGAGGACTTTGTGACTCGACAGATTTAGTGTGCATCAGTCACTTTTTCTACCGGCTGACTGGATTTTCTTCGGCCGGCCAGCCAACCAAGCTATCCCGGCCTAGCAGTTTGCTTTTAAAATAATTAAATATTTTATGAATAAAAGAAAGTATTAAACTGTTAGATATTTAATGTCATGAGTTATAACTTATGTATGCGAAAATCCTCCTCTTTGTAAGCGGAGGGAAAAACAAATACGAAAAGATAGGATGACATTTGCAAACCTGCCAACTTTCTACACGTTTTGAAAATTTTATTCTTGTGGTAGATAAGTTTGTGCTTTAATGTATTATTCTTTCTTTTCTAAATTAGAGTTAAACTTATTTTTCACACCACTACTTGTAAATTATTCGAGAGCTTATATAAAAAGTCACTTTCTCGTGGCAGGGCTTTCACAGGCCTGTCATGACAACTACTGCGCTTTTTACAAAATAATTTACAGAGCGGTTGTCATTTAAATACAAAAGCCTTCAGAATTTTTTGTAATTTTACCTACATTTTTAAAGCCTTATCACGAAGGAACTAGAACAAAGTGTCGTTGCATATGAACTTTTAAACCATTTATTTGTAGATGTGTGGAGGAACAATTTAAATGGCTAAAATAATACATTGAAACATAAAGTTAGCTACCACTGGAATAAATTTTTTCAAAAAAATGTAGAAAGTTAGAAACCCTGATTTTAAAATGTTGGCAAAATTACCAAAAATTCTGTAAGCTTCAGTTTTTAATTCTCTGCCACTCAATAAAATATTTTACAATTATTTTAGGCAACCTTGCGTTAGGTTGCTGATTTCAGCAATTATTTCGTATATAAAAATATCTTGAAATCCAAAGCAATTACTGCATAAAAAAAAAATTCAGTTTATTACTTTGTTACAATTTAAAATATTGTTGCTCTTTGCTTATTATTCATAGAATATATTTCAGAAAACAAAACAAACTTTAGCTACCTTTCTATTTATTATCCTATTAAGATGTTTGCATTGTGATAAAATAAAGATGCAACGCTAATTTTATACATTTGTGTAGGATAAAGCTTTTGTTATCTTATTAATTCTGCTCTTTAGTATCCTATTTCTTCTGTGTTCTTCTGTTTTTTCTCCTGTAAGAAAACGGTAAGTTCAAAGAGTTCCCCTAAGTGTAAAAGGTTGAAAGGTTGATTTAAAGGACATAATTTGATATGACAAAAGAAACTTAGAAAATCATTCTAAGTCAGATGAAAAACAAGGTTTAATGATCCTCACCTGAAATTTCATCGTTGAATAAAAACTGAAGGGAGAAAGTATCTAAAAAAAGAAATAATGAGAAAACGTGACATTATTTTGACTCACGTGATGAGAGTTGGGATTGGAAACATCAATCGATAACTGTCTGCTTCGTTGTTCTTAAGATAACTGTTTTGACTAAATTAGGCGATCGCGTGAATTCTTAGTATTATTTATATATATATATTTTTAAATTGTAGTAGAAAAAAGTTTGAATTGTTAGAGGTATACAAATTTTTATACCATTTTAAACTATGTAACTTTCAACGAAAAAAGAATGATTCTTGAGTTATAAGATGTAAAAAAATCTTATTTTTAAATTCTCATTTGTCAAAAACAATTCAAATGATGGCCCAGGATAGCCTGGTTGGCAGGGCGCTGGACTCGCGCTCGTGAGAACGAGAGTTCAAATTCAGTCGGACTAAGACTCTCCTTGTAGTAAATGGTGACTGGTGCACGTTAAATCTGTCGGGTTACCCAAAGCCCTCCATGTTCCCATAACAAATTATACCTCAGGGGGTACTTAGTTGGAGATTGATCGTTCTCTGGTTCAGGTCAAAATTATGATCTGTAAATGGATGTATGAATGGGTCCACCCTCTTAACGGGCTGTGACGTGTGTGTGGCTGAAGTTGTGTTCCTGATCATAGATGGTGCCACTGGAAAATAAGAACAATAGCACCCTTTTGTCTTAATGGCCTACGACGACAACAGCAACAATTCAACCGATTTTTTGCAAAATTCGTATTTTGTCACGAAAATCAATATAAAAATTTGTTATAAAATGTTTTAAAAATTTATATGCCCTAAAATTCAACTAACTTTTGACCTTTATTAAATAAATTAATCAAAAAAAATAAATAATCCTTACACTTTCTTTACTTACTTACTCTAAACCGTTCAAAGGTTTAGATTAGATGCATTAAAACCGAAAGATTACAGAATTCCAAACACGTTGGAGGCGAATACAGTCAAACCCCGTTATAGAGAACTTTCAAGGGACCAAAATTTCGGTTCACTATAACCGAGAGTTCGCTATATCCGTACTGTAAACAATTTTAACTAATTTTTCTGAACTGCTCCCTTTTATTACACATTATTTAAATGAATGACCAATAAAAAGAAATGCAAAAATGACTAAAAATCAATATGTAGTAACAAAAAATGTGTTAATTTTTTTTTTATTACTCTTCGTCTTGCGTGCAAATAGATGGTTTTAAAATCGGTATATGTATTTTATGTAAAAATTTCAAAATTACCAAAAAATGATGAAAAAAAATCAGTCGAAGACAGAAAAAAGTTCATAATTTCACTATATCCACAAAAAATAATATTATATGTGTATAGTAAGGCTCGGGAGCGAACATTTCGCTCACTATATCCGGAAGTTCACTATAAACCATGTTCGCTATAGCGGGGTTTGACCGTATTTACAAATGGTAAGAAATATTTAACAGTTAAAACAAATGGATCTGTAGAAATTAAATAGTTATAAATATCTTAATCTACAAAGCGTTTATGATATCGATACAGATGAAAAGCATGACCGGGCATGCACTATGAAAGTACAATAAGTCTCGCAAAATAGAGATTATCAAAACAAAATAGAGTAACAGATGTAACGATGTTCAAGTAAACATCTAAATGTAAAAGAAGTATATTTAGAGATATGTCGTACATTGTGAGGAAGACAAATATATGGGAGTGTCGGGTACCCCCGTCCACTGTCAATTTCTTATGTATAGAATATTTTCTCAAGTCAATGGGTCATCAAACATTAATTGTTGTATTAAAAAAAGATTATTTTCAAAGTTTCAAGTATTTATGCA